AGCACTAATTCCGAGTATGGGTCACCATACTTGGCCACCTGTCACTTCATTTTTAAATAAATAGTACATAATTTCTTATCTGATGCCACCAATGAGGCATGTACATTAAATTCACTAACATTCAAATACTTTTAAAGACATTTATAATGTTACAAAAAAACTATTTCTTTTGAACTTTCTATTCAACATTGATAAAAATAAGTTAATAATATACAAATTAATTTTAATAATAAAATTTAAAAAAATTTCAACATAGATAATAAAATTGCTACAAATGGCAATATTATTTAGCAATGGTTTGTATTTTATATCAATAACATTTTTTTATTCAGCAAGGACATATTAGTGTCCTTGATGTGACATTAAAGACCTTAAAGACATTTATGATGTTACAAAAACAAAAAAAATATTTCAAACAAATACTGTTCTTTTGAACTTTCTATTCAACATTGATAATAATAAGTTTTAATAATATACATATTTATTTTAATAATAAAATGTTGATAGAAATTATCAACACTTTCAACATAGATAATATTAGCTATATAATCATATCAATTTATTATATATAATAATACTACTAAAACTGGTTGGCCCTGGTGCATTTAGATGACTAATTATAAAATAAAAAACATTCACACCTCATTTTAAGCCAGAGCCCAATGGGCATATGGCAAAACACCAGTGTGAACAACATGAAGAGCGTGTCTCTGATAACGATGGCATGAGTGTTTTTTAATCAAATGTTTTCTGGAGTCTAAACGCCATCCTAAGCCATTTTTCTATTCTCATCTTCACATGACTCAGCATCCTAAAAGAAATGGGTTATAAATGGATTGAAGGCAGAAATGAAGAAAAAACAGCATTAGTGCATCAGAAAGTGAGAGACAGAGCTAAGATACAGAGGAACAGGATATCCCCAATGAAATTTTATAGCTTGCTATTTTATATTTGTTTCCTAAGAAGATGTAATATGAGTATGGCATACTGTACAATAAGAGTAAAGAGCTATAAAAATGAACATGGATTAAATACTCAGAAGAATTTACTGGTTGCTAGAGTGTTCTGGGTTGTAAAAAATAAACGTTCTTTAACACTGCCTTGTTTTTCACTGTAAAAATATGATAACATTTTTAAAATGAGAGAAATTGACTTAAAACATTAAATTGTGTAAGACAATAAGATGTTTCAGATAATATACCTATATTTATTTTAACCCATTGGTCAACGGATTTCAATGGTTTTAAGAGCAAAACAACCAACATCTGAGGTTGTGTTGGGAAAGACTTGATATGATTGCTTGTCACAGAGCCAGTGGGAAGGCAGATAGTGATAGACAGAGAGCTAAATCGAGAGCTGGACGAATGGACAGATGAAGGATTGAGGGCAGACAGTGAATCAGGTGGCTGGGACACTGCTGCCGGCGGAGGGGGTTGGGGACAGCCCCGCCATTAAACAGAAAGCTGAGTCAGTGCACTGGGAAAACATCAGAGGTGTGCTGGGAGGAAACACAAGCTCTGCTGCACTCTGCTGCAGCTGGGTTATTAACTGCTGAGTGAGCAAACACAGAGAGACAGATAGAGAGACATAAAAGTGAGGAAAAAAGAGGAAGAAGGGTAAATTGACAGCTTCACCGAACCTCTTAGGGTTTGTCTTCAGAATGTGAAGATGGCTTAGAATACAACGTTCAGAAAACATTCTCTTCTGCAGTTCAATAAACTAGATTAAGTGTGAGCAGTACTTGCCTGCGAAAAACTCACCGCCATGATTCTAGAGCGTTTCGGCTGATTGCCGGACAAATATTATGTTGCTACGGTGCTACAATTATCGTGGCCTAAAAAATTCACGATAACGATATATCGTGATATCTACAGAAATCTTGAAAAAATAAAATAATAATAAATAAATCAAGTTATCAGTTAAATTAATCTTTTTTTGACCAATGAATCACACCATTGCATACAAAAGGAACAATTACACTAAACAGAAGAGACAAAAACGCTAACGTTTTTAGCTTAGCACAGTGTAAAAGTAAGACAATTTATGAGAATAAGTACATATTTTTACTCCAAACTTGTGAATATAATAACTTCTATGAACGGATACTTATTTTATAGTATTCTATACAGTGATAAAGGGTGTGTCGATTAGCATTGCAATATAAATATACATTATCCATATAAAAATACCTGAGATGGCTTTAAGAACATAGATAAAAAATATAATGTTGTAATCATGTGTTTATTCTCATCATGTTTCATAATACAAAACATTTCTTTCTGCATTTTATTCAGCTACAGCGGGGACAGCTGGAAAGTTATTCGTTTTATTACTCCTATGAGTCTCACTTGTAGACTTTCTGCACGAGGGTGCCCTCCGGTGTCGAGTATGAATGAAACAAATCACAAGTGAGAGTTTAATGCTCCATAATGGTGCTGTCGCTGGCTTATTATGTGTCATATTATCGTATGTATACTATTCATTTTCAAATATCGCCAATATCGGTATATTGCGACACCACTAATTAATAGATAACGATATTTCATTATTTATGAATTTCATTATTTATGATATTTTTTCATTATTTATTATGATATCACGATTATCGTCAATACCAGTATATTGTACAAGGGTTGTGGGTAGTTGCCAAAGCTCTGATCTAGTCGGTTGCCAAGTCATTGCTCGGAAAAATTGCTGAGAAAGATAACACATAAAAAGCTGAGGTATCATTCATGTCTGTAACAAAAATGGTGCAGGAGGAGTTACGTGCTGAAGTTTAGATGTGTGTTTAAATGCATAACCCAACGTATGAGCAACAGCCTTAGCAAGTATCCTTAATAAATCTAAAAATGGTAACAATAATGAAGCTATTAAGAGATACACCCAAACAACAGATGTCAGACAGTCAGAACTATACTGTGAACCCCAGGTTCTAACCTCTCGCCACAACAACCAGCAGTGCAAAACACACAGTATACAGAACAGCTGGGAAAAGGTTATAAGAGCACAACAGCTGAGATAACAGTCTGTACTGTTCCACTATGCACTCATGCATGCCAGTTCACTCACTCTGTGTGTGTGTTTTTCTCTGTGTGTATGTAACAGATGGAGGGTTGCCTGGACAGGCAGAGGCATGGTGCAAATGTTGAGAAAGAACCCGGGACAGAACATCAACAACACTGGCAACGGCTGTGCCTTCAGCTATGAACTCTCGAGACCCTGGTGAGGGTTTCTATGACTTCAGATCAGCGTGCAGAAACAAGAGACAACCACCTTTCAGCTGGCAATGAGCACACCTTCCTGTTTACTTCAACTCAGTCTGCTCTCTTTACATCTCCTGGTGATGTTTCGCAATATGAACCCAATGCATCGCAGATGTTACACTAAACATATGACTAGATAAAGAGACACAACAGCTCTGAATGACCTTGCTGTCTACTTCAGCTTTATTCTAAGGCAGCATACTAAACAGAACTTCATAAGTGACTATGCTCTATAGATTTCAAACAGACTGATCCGTGTAACGATGGACATTTTCTAGAGGTTACATGGTTATATCAGCAGGTGGCAGCAAGTAACTTTCTTTATGAGTGAGTCATTGATTCATTCATGAAGTGACTGTCTGGATTTGAAATGTCACACTACATACTATTCTTACTATTTCTCCCATATTTTTATATGGCAGAAATAGAATAGTATGCTATTTTGAATTCAGCCACTGTCTTTAAGAGTGAGTCATTGAATCATTTACTCCACTAATTTGCTCAAAACACTGATTCATTCAGAAGGCTAATGTGCTTTGGGTGATTGCTAGGTTATTGCTATAGCATTGCCATGTGGTTGTTTGGCTATTCTACATGGATGTTATGCCATTGCTAAGTGGTTTCTATGGTGTTGATCAAAAACAATTTCAAATCACAGTCAATATCAGGTCATTTCTAGGATGCTGGAAATCCAGCTATAAAAAGAGTCTCTTTAAGGATGAATAAATGATGATGCAGCAATGTTTGGGAGCAGGAAACAGTGGCATGAGGGCAGTTTGCGAGACTGCGCCATGGCCTTTGTGCAAAAGACTGCAGAGGACACCCATGAAGACCCACAAATATGACATGAGCACTTACTGTGAGCGAGGTGAAGGTCATGCACATTCCTCCAAATCCATTCAGCGCCAGGGCAAAGAAGATCAGGATGGAAAGATCTGTGAAAGAAACAGACAAAGGAGGTCAAAGAGAGCAGAGACAGACAGGTAATAACAGAATGGTGGTCTTAGGTGGATTTGCATACATACTTCTAGGGTCACTTGCTCCATATGCAATCAGGATGCAGGAGAGGGCAAACGAGGCACTAGGAAAAGATTATATATGATTATATATGTAAATGTATGTATGATATCTTTATATATATACATTGAATATTTTTCACCATATAAATGTAATGCATTTTTCTCCTATACCTGCCGAGCAGCCTTAATTTGCGCGGCCCGTATTTGTCCATGATGATGCCGAGGGGCAGAGTGATGGCACTGAGGAGGAAGGAGCCAATGGTGAAGGCCAGGTTCAGCATCTCGTCTTGATCTTTGCAGATGGGCCAGCCATTCATCTGAAGATTATCCTCCTCCTCACCTCTTGGGACTACTGTCGTATCATTTTCATTCTCAGATACGTTCTGCCCTGTACCGTTACCTGGAGAATTGGAGAGGGCAAGACAGAATGAACCCAAACGGAGCAATCTAATCACCAAACCAGCACTAACCAACATGGACCAGTGTGTAAATTCATGCTGGTAGGGTAGTCAGCAGTCACACACTCACATATAAACTCCATGGACTAATTGGAACCCTGACTTCTAGGAAACCATTTATGACACTCTGGGAAGTAAAACAGGAAACGCCTTTGTGGGATATAGCGGCCACCATCGCGCCCACCTCCCAAAGCCGCCAGGATGCTGGGCAAAGGGTCAAATAAACAAGCTGCTATACACAATAAACAACTAGCAGAAATAGCATGAGAGTATATCTGAACCCCCATTGGAGCTCAGTCTCCTAAAACCAACACCTTCCCACAACCACTAAGGCATGAACACCTTGACTAACATTTAACCCTGTTGTTTCACCCAGGCTTCCCTGGTTGTTTTGACTAGGGATAATCCTACTTTGGCTGGGCAACAAGTCTCCTACTTGGTTCTTGAAGATTCAAGAACACGGTTTATCCATGTGTTATCTAAACGCAAACAGCCTTGAATATGTTCTGGAATAACTTGTTCTGAGAAGGACAGATGGGGGATGGGGCTGTTTGCAGCATATGGAGGAAGCAGTTATTAACGTAACAGGGTGGGCAAGAGACAGAGAGCCTTTGTGTGAGGGATTTTTGTTCAAATGTGATCAGTAAACAAACAAATGAGCTGTGTTTGTGGAGCAGAGATGACCTGAGCAGGTGACTGAAGATGAGAAGAATTGGGTTAAAGCTCACTGATTGGTTTTTAGAGGACACATATCTGCTCAGCTTTAGATGTTTTGCTGAGTAATAAAGGAGGAGCTGCCTTAAGTCAATACACACCCGTTTCAATAGCTGCTGCAGTTAGCAGTTACAGACTGACACAAAAGTAGCGTGTTTTTACTCGTTTTCACGAAATTACTGAATAAAAAAGGTTGTTCTCTATTAAGACTACAATTTGAGCCACATTTAATCTCAAATTCAAAAGGAAATTAAATTTTACAAAATTGAATGGATAAATAAATGAAGACTATTTTGAGACTACGATTTTTTGGCTTGTTACATTATTATTATTTTTTATAACAATGAATGGGATAAATGAATCGCACATGAAATTATAAATAAAATTCTATTTATATTATGTTACACCACCTTTCAAAAGTCTGGGGTCAAGATTTTTTTATATTTGATACATTTATATATATGATACATTTAGGGCACATTAAATTAATCAAATGTGACAGTAAAGACATTTATAATATTACAAAAAATTTATATTTCAATGCTGTTCTTTTGAGCTTTCTATTCACCAAAGAATCCTGAAAAAAATCACAGTTTCAACAAAGATATTAAAAAACAACTGATTTTAAATTCAATATTTATTGTTTGTTTGTTTGTTTGTTTGTTTGAGTACCAAATCAGCATTTTAGAATGATGTCTGAAATAATTTCTGGAAATTATTATAAATAATTAATTAATTATAAATTGTAAAAAATATTTCACAAAATTACCAATCAAATCATTTTTGATTAGCATAAGAGTCTTCTCTCAAAAACATTTTTAAAAATCTTACCGACATCAAACTTTTGAACTGTAGTGTACACTTTTTCATAAATAAAATATCAATTTAAAAATACATAAAATTGTATAAATATTTTACAAAAAGACCTAAAACAGGCTCCATTTTCTTTATGCAAAATATTTCTTCCTTTGCTTTTTGGGTGAAATATGACTTGCAGATATTCTTGACAGGTTTTGTTGGATTCACTTTTTAGGTCTGTTCAGATGGGCGAGGAGCTCTATTTCAGATGTTTCAGAAGCCATTGTTCCATTAGATCTAATCAGCAAAAAACAGAGACAGCCAGGCCTGATGTTCCACTTGCTTTGATATGGAGAAGTGAGAGAAGAACAGAAAGAGAATTCAACACGAATCTGAAGCACAAAAAACGTCATGAACTCAGACTCGGTCAGATGTGCTATGCCAAAGCATTTAGCCAGACAAGCATTTTCCTGGTCAGTGTTTCCTCACGCCTGCTGATTAAAGAGAACCAACCAGCTGATAACAATGCGGTGGAAAGCTGAGTCCAAGGAAAATAAGTAGGTGAGGAAATGGCAAGATAATCTCATATTTACATTGAGCAAACGCTTGAGCCACATTTACTTCCTTGTGTCATCAGACATGTTACGCCTGGTGTCTGGAATCTCTGAACTAGATGCTGACAACAGTTGAAATGAAAGAGAGAAGGGACGTGTGAATGTACAGGATTGCAGTATGCACTGATATCGGTGTCCTCCACCCTCAATATCCCATCAATAAAACTGACAAAATGGTGTTGAGCTAGCTATTACTAAATGTTAGCTAACAGCAAGGAGATCTGAGGAGGAGAAATGCCAGGTTCTTGTATTTGAGCCTCACACTTCACATCGCAGTGTGAACCACAAACTCTCAAACACCAGATAAGTGAAGAACGCCGGCCAGACGTGCACTTTATATCATGGCGATGGTGTTTAGCCATTGTGCTAATGGGTCATAAGATATCAGAGTAGCCAGGCTGTTTCTTCCAAATTGTGGAAATTAGTTTTCACCAAGGCGTGTTAAATCGTTTAAGAGGCAGATTTCATAGTGGAAAAATAA